TGGCAGGCAGGACGACAATTTCGAGGGTAAAAATTAACTCTTTGCAAGGGGCGAAGCGTTACCTGTAACCGGGTCAGGTACGTACGACCGACCTGAACACGACACTCGACCCGCCTTCGGGTCTGGTAAACCCAACCCGACGGGTCGCCGATACCTGCGCGAAAAGGGGCCCCACGAGTAGTGGGTCGACCCGACCCATCCGGGTAAACCCGACCTGACCCGGTCGGGTCAGATGCAAACACCGTACAGACCCAACCCGGCTTATTGACAGGGCAGGTAGGTTTACCCGATCCTACGCGTCAGATGCCCAAGCCTAGTTCATGTTCAGTCAATGCCCTCTATTCCCATCTCCTCATTTATTCGACCCCAACCCATACCACGCACACACAGGTCCCTTTCTAACAACCGTTTGACGGGCTCCATTCCCAGCAGGATATTCACGCTCCGTCAGCTCGCTTATCTGTATGGCCCTCCTCGTTTAAGTGTGGGGTTAAGCACGCATGATAATGGATTCGTGACACCTTGACGGTAGAGACGGGTTGACGGGCTCCATTCCCAGCAAGATATTCACACTCCGTCAGCTCGCGTATCTGTATGGCGCTCCTCGTTTAAGCCTGGGGCTAAGCAGGCATGATGACTGGTGACACCTTGAGTGGGTTATGCAGGGATTTGAACCTCGTCTGGTTTGAATTGAAGGGTTGATTGCATTCCGGGCCTCAGCCTCCCATGCATATTTTCTGTAACTCCTGCTGCGATGATTGCTGCTACTCATTTATAGGGTTGAAATAAACTCGTTGAAGCAGTTTACCAGCACTAGGATCGTCTTGCTTCCCCAACCCACTATTCCCATGTTGTCACTTTCGCCCCAACCCATACCACACACACACAGGTCACTTGCAAACAACAACTTGAAGGGCTCTATTCCCGACAGCATCTCTGTGCTTTCTCGGCTCAATTATCTGTATGGAGCGCCTCGTTTCAACCTGGTGCTAGACATGCATGATCAAGGCACTTCATCATACGTTTATTGTTCCAGTAATAACGCATTTTGAATACCTAGACTTAATAATAGAATAAAAAGCTCTCGAGAAAATTTCTTTCGTCACATAACCAACCAAAAAGGCCCACGCAAGCTTGCAAGCAAGGAGTTTTTAGTAAACACGTTATGAGAAAACGTATACGGGCCACGCTATTTGCAGCAAATGCTGGCCGAATATCCCTCAATTTTGTCAAACTGGGTTTGCTACTTGAACCATTTCCCTCACCCCGAACCGCGATTCGTTTTTTGACTTGTCTCATCTGCCCATTGGGTCGACCATGTGTGCTTACTGTCATTCGGTCCTTGCTCTCTAATCTCATCTCCTTGCTCATTCCGCCCCAACCCATACCACACACACACAGGGATCTCTCAAAAACAGCTTTGACGGGATCTATTCCCAGTGACATTTACTGGCTTTCTCAACTCTCCTATCTGTACGAAAGTCCTCTCCTCCTTTGAGCCTGGTGCTAAGCATGCATTGGTAATGCCGCGATTACTGGGCTGGCCCCCCACCCCATTGGTCAGCCAATAACGGTGGGGGGTAACCCGAACTTTGGCCACTCACCTCACCTTATGCCCTATTTGTACTGCTCTTCTTTCTCAATATATCACGGGAAGGTGATGTGAGCACGGGATGTTATGTTAGAAGGTTGCACAAACTTGATCTCGAGGAGGAAGGGCTAGTTTTGTGAAACCGGATCGAGTGGAAAGCAAGGGATGTGTGAAGTTGAATGTAGCTTTGACGAATGGTCACTCAAACCTGAACACTCTTGGGTTCAGGTCAAATATGTTTGAACCAAACTCAGTAGTGTCTAATTGTGCTGTCAAACACTCAAAACCCACCTTTGCAACAATTATTTTGACTCAAACCGAACAGGTACAAACAATCGAGTTAGTTCAAGACCAGCAAGTTTTGAGTTCGCCTTTTGCTCCTTCTACTTCTCACCATGCTCGTCTCATCCCCCAATTGATTTTGAGTCAACCCTGTGTGCCTGTTGTCCCTTAGTCCATGCCCTCGATTTTCATTTGCTCACTTATTCCGCCCCAACCTTTACAACGCACACGCAGGTCACTTTCAAACACCGCTTTGACGGGCTCCATTCCCAGTGACATCTACGGGCTCTCTCTGCTCTTTTATCTGTATGAAATGAAGCACCCAGTTGAAGCCTGATGCACCTCGCTCAACGGTTTGACAGGCTCCATTCCCAGTGACATCTACGGGCTCTCTCAGCTCTTTTATCTGTATGAAGCACCATTGGCAGCCAAGCCAGGCGGAATAGTCCGCAACTCCTCCCAACCCAGATTCGTCGAACTGGGGGGAGCAACTTCAACCATGAACCGAACTGCGATTTGTTTCCTACTCTCCTACCTCCCACCCACCGTGCTCGTCTCGTCTTTCAATTGGGTCAACCGCGTATGCTTGCTTGCTTGCTGTCATTCGGTCCATGCTTTCTAATCTCATCTCCTTACTTTGTCCGCCCTAACCCTTACCACGCACACACAGGTCTCTTTCAAACACCGCTTTGACGGGCTCTATTCCCATTGACATTCGCTGGCTTTCTGATCTCACTTTTCTGTAAGAAGCTCCTCCTTTGAGCCTGGTGCTAAGTATGCATGGTAAAAACTGACATTACAATGATCGGTCTTTCGACATATCGATCTGTCACAACCACTCATATCTGAATTTGGATGTGTGCTGGTTGGGTCTGCTTTTGAGTCGACTCAAAAGCAGTCGAGAGAATCTGACCTATCGATCTTTCACTACCACTCAGATCTGAATTTGGATGTGTGCTGGTTGGGAGTTCTAGATTCAGAATTCTAGGTCCACCCTGTGTACTTGCTGTCCTTCAGTCCTGCCGTCGATTCTCATCTCCTAGATAAAGTATTCCACCTCAACCTTTACCACGCACACACAGGTCTCTTTCATACAACGCTTTGACAGGCTCCATTCCCAGTGGCATGGACGGGCTTACTCGGCTCTCTTATCTGTATGAAGCACCTCGTTGATGCTAAGTATGCATGATCAAAGATCACATGAGCTTCAAAACCCTCGAGGGACAACCCATAGATGGCATGGCACAATTGGGTCGACCGTGTGTGCTTGCTGTCGCTCACTCCATGCCATATTCTCATGTTATCACTCTTTCCTTCCAACCCATACCACGCACACACAGGACTTTTTCAAACAACAGGTTGACGGGCTCCATTCCCAGCAACATATTCACGCTTCCTCAGCTCACTTACCTGTATGAAGCACCTCGTGACACCTTAAGGCTGGGGGTAAGCACGCACAATGAGTGGTCGGGTTGACAGGCTCCATTCCCAGCAACATATTCACGCTTCCTCAGCTCACTTACCTGTATGAAGCACCTCGTGACACCTTAAGGCTGGGGGTAAGCACGCACAATGAGTGGTCGGGTTGACAGGCTCCATTCCCAGCAACATATTCACGCTTCCTCAGCTCACTTACCTGTATGAAGCACCTCGTGACACCTTAAGGCTGGGGGTAAGCACGCACAATGAGTGGTCGGGTTGACAGGCTCCATTCCCAGCAACATATTCACGCTTCCTCAGCTCACTTACTTGTATGAAGCACCTCGTGACACCTTAAGGCTGGGGGTAAGCACGCACAATGAGTGGTCGGGTTGACAGGCTCCATTCCCAGCAACATATTCATGCTTCCTCAGCTCACCTATCTGTATAAATTGCCTCGTGGTGACACCTACAGTGGGCTGTGTAGGGGCTTTATCTCCATCAGTTAGAAGTCCCTTTATATTGTCTGGCTTAAAGGGCTGCTTGCATTTCGGGCCTCAGCCCCCCTTGCATATTTCTTGTAACCCTTGCTGCGTTATTGCTTCTCTTCATTTATAGGGCTTAAATCAACGTGTGTGACCTCTCTTTCCACCTAGTTCATTTGAGCTAATTCAATACATTTCTTTTCACAACCAGGGCGGCAGGGCCAGCGTGGGTCGGGCCGCTCTTTGCCCGTCGGATCAACTGGTGCCATTCGTTTTTCACTCGTGGCTGCCTTATGGCTGCCCATCTGCAATCGCCCTCTCATCTCCATCTCACTCGTGGCTGCCTTGTGGCTGCCCATCCCATCCCATCCCACAATCCATGCCCACTTTTCTCATCTCCTCACTTCTTCCACCCCAACCCATACCACGCACACACACAGGTCTCTTACAAACAACAATCTGAATGGCTCCATTCCCAACAGCATCTCCCAGCTTTCTCAGGTCACCTTTCTGTATGAACCACGAACCAGATCAAATTAGTATATCAGAACTGTGATTAGGGTTTTACTCATACCTACCTCCTCCCATGCTCGTCTGATCTTCAAACTGGGTAAACTGTGTGTTCTTGCTGTCCCTCAGTCCATGCCCACACCACGCACACACAGGTCTCTTTCAAACAACAAATTCGCTCCAACCCCTCCTCCCCCTCCCTTACCCCTCCTCTAAGTGGAGAAAGACGCTGGACGCTAGATTTTGGCCCTCGAGACGCAGCAAAAGACGCAGGTCCGGGCAGCCAAAAAAAACCCCCCCGGGCAGCCAAAAAAAAGTTTTAGGGCGTAGCACACTTTCATGGCAAAATTTCTCCTCAAAAACAAAATTTCAGCCACAACACTAAAGCATGAAGGTGAGGTGAGTTGCAAATTTCCATAATCAAAATTAGTCCAAGGGTGGTTTAGCATGCATACTAACACTAACATGCATCACTCATCCTCCACCTCCGCGCTCTCCATCTCCTTCTCCTCCTCCTTCTCCATGGCCTCCTGCTCCTTGTACTCGTCGAAGGTGATGTCATCCTCATCCACCTCCACCTCTCCATCCTCCTCAAGCTTGTACCCCTCGGGAAGGGGAGGGGGGGGAATGTTCCCCTCCACTATTCCCGCCTTCCTGACTTCCCCACTCGGCCCCGCACCAGCCGCACCCTTGTGGTGGTTGTGCACAACGTTTCAGTTGTGCGCAACGAACACAAGGTCGCGGACCTTCTCCGAACCCAACCTGTTCCTGCGCGCCGTGTGCACGCCATCCCACGTGGACCATCTGCGCTCGCATGCTGAAGCGGAGACGGGCTGTGAAAGCGCCCGGCACGCAAGGCCAGCCAGGTCGCGGTACTCCCAGCCGTTCACCTTCCACCACGTCACCATTTCCCCCTTCCCGGCCTTAATATCCGCCCGCTCCTCTGTTGCCTCCTCAGACCCGAAGCACCCCTTGCCCTCAATGAACGCAAGCATCCCCTCCTGCAGCGCCTTCATCGTCCCCTTAGTGTCGCCGCCGCTCTTCCAATACTTGTCGACGAATGCCTTCGAGCGCTGGAGCCACGCCTTCATCACCCTGGTGCACTCGCCGTCCTTGTGGTAGATCCCCTCCTCCTGGTTGGCCGGGTTCAGAATCCGGCCAACCACGTGAAGGGGGCAGGCCAAGCTCTCGTCCCAACGCCGCCTCAAGTGCTCCTTCACCCCCTCCTTATCCGCCCTCTTGAGCCCACAATCATCCTTCTCCAACAGCTCCCGCAAGTCCTCCGTCAGCTGCAGCATGATGTCGTACAACTCACCCATCCTCCCCTTCGCCTCCCCATCAGTCCGCCTCATCACCTTGTAGGGCAGCTCCATCACCTTCACGAATGTCTCCGCCTTCTTCCACCACTCCACATTCAACACCGACGTCGCAAATGTCTTTCCAGTCTGCGTGCTACCTCCCTTTTCCTCCCAGTCCTTGTGCGTCACCATCTGCGTCAGATGTGAACGAATCTTGAGCAGCCGCGACACAGCAATGTAGTTTGTCCCAAAGCGCGTGCCCGCCGGGCGCAGCGGCTGCAGCGACTTCTCCTCGCCGTGCAGCTCGGGACACCGCAGGAAGGCGCGCGCCCACGTGTGGCTGCGCACGAACGAGATGATGTCGCTCGCAACAGGGACGACATCCTGCGCCCAATCCATCCCGCCGATGTCCTCCATCAGCAGGTCGAGCACGTGAGTGGCGCAGGGAACGATCTCGAGATGCGGGTAGATCTTCTGCAGCTTCTTGCCGGCGGACACGTAGTTGCTGCCGCCGTCCGTGCAAAAAGCGACGACGTGCTGCGGCCCAATCTTCTCGATGATCGGCTGTAGGATGCTCACGATGAACGCCCCAGTCTTTGTCTCCGCCTTACAGTCGACCGCCTCCTGGAAAACCGCGCCGCTGTCGTTGATACAAATGATATTCATCTGCGCGCGCCCGCTCTTATCCCGCATCATGTCGCTGGCAATCGTCACGCCGGTCTCCGTCCGGGTTTTCGTAATGGGCTCCAACCCCTTTTCAATTCGCCTCTTGCACTCCTGCAGCCCGACGCCGCCAACGTAGTCACGCTTGGGGGGGACGTAGCTGCCTCCAGCGGCAGCAACGGCGCGCAGCATGTTGAGGAAGAGAGGGTGCTCGCACTGACGCTCCGCCGTGCGCGTCCCCGCGATGTAGAGGCAAATTGCCTCGTCGGCCGCACGCGTCGCCGTCTTCCCCCCCTCGCCATACCAATCCTCCATCCGCCCCTTCTTAGCCTTCGGTCCCGCACCGCCTCCACCGCTCACTGCGTTGAGCGCCGCATCCGTCGCCCTCTCTTTTTCCTTGCGCGTCGTAATCTTGCTCTCCTTCCTGTCGCGAATAGAGTCAGAAACGCGCTTAGGAACCTTCGCGCAAACAATCCCACCATCGCGGCGCACGTTCGCGTCGTTCCATTCGGCGAGATGCTGGGTGCATCGGCTACTACTAAAGGCGAACACTTTCCCGCACCAAAGGCATTCGCACTGCTTCCCCTTCTTGATCGGATCGTCGAAGGTCCAAAAATGCCTATAAATATGGTGATTAGGGTTTTGCGGTTTTTTCTCAACGCCATCCTTAGTGAAACGCTTGGGGGGAGTATCGCCGTCGGAAAGGACATCTTTCGATGCGCTAGAAGACAAGGGATTGCTAGAGCTAGCCATAACGGTCGTGAGAGCAAAGGAGCTAAAACCACTAGGGTTTTTGAAAGAGAATTGGGTTGTGAGAAAAGTGAGCACAAATGAGAGGTTTCATGAACTAAATGGGCTTTGTGGTGGTGGTGGGCCACAAAGGTTGGGTTTTCTAGATGTGGAGTGGTGGAGAGGAGTTGGATTTCCATTTCAATTTTGCATTAGGGGGGTTACAAATGGGTTAGATGGCTGGTTTTGGGGGTCGAAATTGGTAGGGGGGGTCGAATTTTGGCGAAATTGACATTCGCGATTTCGTCGCGAATGTCAATTTCGCGATCGCGGAAAAACAAAAATTTCGGTCTGCCCGAAAAAATTTCCGCCCAACGTCCTGCGTCCGGACGCGCGTCCTGCGTCTTTGCGTCCGGACGCTGCGTCCGGACGCAGGACGCAGGGCCGCCCCAGCGTCTTTCTCCACTTAGCCCCTCCTCCCCCTCCCCCACCCCTTTCTCCCCCTCCCCCACCCCTCCTCCCCCTCCTCCCAACACAGCTTTCGGTCAAACAACAACTTGACGGGCTGCATTCCCACCTTTCTCACTTCTTTAGCGGCTAAAGTTTAGCCCCAACCCACCCCCCCCCTTCTTCCCCTCCTCCCCCCCCCCTCTCCCAACACAGGTCGCTGGCAAACAACAACTTGACCGGCTCCATTCCCAACAGCATCTCCATGCTTCCGCAGCTCATTCATCTGTATGGAATGAAGCACCTCGTATAAAGGTGACTTTTGAGTCGACTCAAAAGTCGTCTCAACAGCATCTCCATGCTTCCGCAGCTCATTCATCTGTATGGAATGAAGCACCTCGTATAAAGGTGACTTTTGAGTCGACTCAAAAGTCGTCTCAACAGCATCTCCATGCTTCCGCAGCTCATTCATCTGTACGGAATGAAGCACCTCGTATAAAGGTGACTTTTGAGTCGACTCAAAGGTCGTCTCAACAGCATCTCCATGCTTCCGCAGCTCATTCATCATTTGTATGAAATGAAGCACCTCGTGTAAACCTAAACATAATCAAAGTTCATGTCAACCCTATAACCCATGTCAACTCTATAACCCATGAGAGAATCGTTAGTCACATAATTTAGATGCCACACGCAAGCAAGACAACTAGGATTTCTAGGAAATTAATAAGTAAATGGTCACAGTTGGCAGTAAATCCAGCCTGAATATTTCGCGCATCATAGGCCCGGGTTCGACAAGAACCACAAACTCGACAAACTGGGTCTACAACCTGAACCTGTTCGGCCAATGAGAGTCGATCATGAATCTGGTTGCCTCCGACCAAAGTGCGATGTCGTTTTTCTACTCATGCTGCCTCCCACCATGATTGTCTCATCCTCCGACGGGGTCGATCATGTGTGCTTGTTGTCTTTCCATCGATGGCCACGATTCTCATTTCCTCACTACTTCCAGACCAACCCACACCACACACTCACAGGTAGTAGGTTTGTTCAATGCCCCGAACTGCATTTCGTTCATCCCAAAAAGGGTTCGACTTGAATGAGCCTGCACATGTTTAAGTCTATCTGTTCAGTTCTTTATTACTATGAGTGCCGAAGCGCGTCAAACCAAAAACCAGTTCTACTCTTAGTCGAACCAATCCAGTGCCACTTTGACTCGAGCCCTAGAAGGTTCGGGGTCAAACCTCGAACCCAAACCCCACCCATTTTGGTTCAACCGGGAACCGACCTGGCTTGGTCTGACAAGGAGCCAAGTTTGATTTGGTTCAACAAAGATTGGAAATTCTGGGCTGCAAAAGTTTCGCTCCAAGACTTTCGGTTTTTTTTTTTTTTTTTTTTTTTTTTTTTCTGAAAACTTCAGGCAAAACTTAGTTATGCCTCAGAAGAAACGGTTTTGAGCCTGTCCATTACTCCCCAACATAGCATTGCTCTGATTGGGCACTTTACTGAAGGCACATGACATGATTCATAACTTTTTTCACTACGATTGCTCAGATTTTTCCGTCTCGTCATTCATTGTGATACATGATTGGTTTCCAGAACGATTTGTCCCCATCGATTTATCTTCGTTTGCATTTGATTTTTCTCTACCAAAATGTATCGGCGAGAATCTCCTACGCTATTAAGAAACGAAATCCTTTACTTTGTGCTGCTTTCATCTCCCCCTCCTTCATCTTGCATGGGCTGCTTTGTCGATCAGGCGTATACAAGGCAATCGCCTGGCTGGATCCATTCCATCCTCTCTCAGCCGCTTGATCAACCTGGTGAACCTGTAAGTACCATGACTTCATCACTAGGCTATCCCAGCTATCCATTCTCCTCTCAAGCACCGTGCTCTGTAGGCATAGCCCCACCTTTTAACAGCTATTTCAATTTCCCTTTCTTGCCCCTTCCACCCTCCCTCCTTTCATTTACTAATGCTTCTTCCTTTTGCTCCCAGTCCAATGCTGTTCCTTCTCCTCGCCTTTGCTCCCAACAAGGCTCCCCACCTGTTGGAATCTTGACTCGTCGCATTCCCTTTGGCCGCTTGCACGTGCTTCCTGACTGTCCTGCCGTGCCCACTATTCATATTTCTCCATGTCTTTCAACCCACAACACACAATGCACAGGGATCTCTCATCCAATTCCCTGAGTGGCCCCATGTTCACCAACTTCGCCTTCCTTGATGGCATCACCTATCTGTACGAAGCTCACTAGAATCATTGTTTTATGTTCCGGGCCAAGGCCGCACGGCACTCTTTATGTGCCAAGCCTGCACTGCGCTCTCAGCCATCAACTCACGCTCATCGTTGCTGCGTGGCCCTCCCCGTGCTTCTCACCCCATTTTCTGTTCCAAAGCATGCTGAGATGTGCTGTGATACCAACATGCTATTTATAGTCTCGTGGGATGGATGCATGCCTTCATGTGGATGGGTGGATGCATGTCGCTGCGTTCTTGCATGCATGAGGCTAACAGGGCTTACTCCCACACTTTCTGTCCAACCCATGTGAGCAGAAACCTTTCTGCTAATGACCTCAGCGGGGAGATTCCAGCTGCGATTGGAGGCCTCACTTCATTGAAGTACTTGTGAGTAGGCTTGAGGAAGTACCAACCCGAACCGAACTTGTAACCTTTGAGTACGCTTGATCAAGCACTGAACTCGAATCGGTCCTGGAACTGTCTAAAAGGTTTGAGCAAGTACCAGATCCGAAATGGAAGTGTAAGCAGTGAGTAGGGATGAGCATATGGCGAACACGAACATGTTCGTGTTCGCCAGGGGTCGAACATAGCCGTTCGGCGAACCGAACACTGTTCGGTTCGCCGAACACTTTCCAGCAGAAAGGGTGTTCGAAGTTCGCCAATAGAGGCGAACATTTCTAAAGTTTTGCCGAACACGAACACGTTCGTCCAGAACATGTTCGTGTTCGCCCTAGAGGGGGTGGCACTACAAGACTCTAGATTTAAACACTGCCAATGCCAATGCATCATTGTATATGGGATTATAGAGTGTTCTCAGTGTCTGTAATAACTTATATAAGCCTGGCCAACTAGTAGCAGAGAACATGTCCACATTCGAAGTCTACCCAACACAAACTCAACATCCCAACGTCACCAACGCGCCGCTCGAGCGCCCACTAACCCACAACTACATCCCTGACCCACCCTCGCTACCAACAACACCCTCTCCTCCACCCGCTGCTGCGTCCACCCCTCTCCCCTCCCCCGCCTCCTCCGCCACTTCCACCTCAGGCGCCTTCTCCACCTCCACCTCATCCCCCAACTCCTCCTCCTCCTCCTCCTCCTCCTGCTCCTCCTCCTCCTCCTCCTCCTCCTCCTCCTCCTCCTCCTCCTCCTCCTCCTCCTCCTCCTCCTCCGCACCCTCGCCCTCAATAGCAATCTCTAGTGCTGCGGCCCCCTTCGGGCGGCGGTCCTCGCCGATCCTCTGTCCAGGGTGCGATCCATACCAGGAGCGGAGAATCATGCTGGCTCGTGACCTCTCGGTGTTCAGGCGGTGACGCTTCCACGAAATGAGGTTGCGGCCCAATGAGAACACCCGCTCGCTCGCAGCAGACGTGGCAGGGATGGCGAGATAGTCCCTCGCCATCCGCTTCAGCGTCTCCATGTTCGTGGAAGTGCGCCAGTAGTCTAGCGCAGAGACGTCGTACCGCACCCTCTCCGACAAGTACCTGCTGACCTCGTCGTCCTGCACAAGACCACCCCCCCCTGCCGCCTGGCTCGCAGACAGACGCGCCGCAAGGCGTCGGCGACTAGGGAGATAGAGGTCGTCCTCGTCCTCCCCCCCCTGCTCTCCCTCCTCCTCCTCGACCACCGTGGGAAGTGTGGTGGGCCTAGGAGCCAGCTCCCTCGCCGCTGCCTGGTACTCGGCCACCCGATCGCGTACCAACGCGATCACCACGCTCGACGGCGGGCGCGGCCTCTCCCTCCGCGCCGTCTGTGGATGCTGCGTCTCCCAGTGGGGGTCGTCGAACCACGCCACCTTCATGGAAGGATCCAGGAAGGTGGCGATCCAGCCCTCGTTGCTGCTGATGTACTCATACTTCTTCAGGATTCGCAGCGCCTTCTCGACCAGCGGCTTCATCAGCGCAGAGGGTCCCTTTGCCAGTCGGGCCTCCATAGCGTCGATGAGGCCGTTGTAGTACGGCACCACCATCGAGAGCGTCGGGTACGCCGTCCCCTCGGCTGCCTTGGAGACCTTGTTGAAGGGGCTGAGAAATGTTCTTAGCTCCTACAACATGTCCCACTGCTCATCAGACAGGCGCATTTTCTCGACCTTATCCTTGTCCGTCTTCGACAGGCCCTGCTTCGGGTAGGGTGTGGTGGGGCGGGGCATAAGAGGAGCATGGTTGTTATAAACATGTCTCGCTCATCACGAAACCAATTGCTCAACACACAAATCACATGCCACACATGTCGCACACATGTGAAACACATGTCGCACACATGCCTAACACATGCCGCACACATGCCACACACATGCCTCACACATGCCACACACATGCCACACACATGCCACACGCATGCCTAACACATGCCGCACACATGCCACACACATGCCTCACACATGCCACACACATGCCACACACATGCCTAACACATGCCTCACACATGCCGCACCGCACACTTGCCTAACACATGCTTAACACATGCCGCACACATGCCATACATATGCCGCACACATGCCACACGCATGCCATTTGTCCCGATCCGATCTCACCACATACCTGAGTCGAGGCCAGAAACACTGTGATCGGATTCTGCAGCTCAAGGTAGCGGTCGATCATGGCGTGCGTCGAGCCCCAGCGAGTGGGGCTGTCCTGCACCAGCTTCAAGGCTGGTTTTTTTACACGGGCCTGCATGTTCAAGCTGCGCTGCAGTCCAAGGAAGGCTGCCGAACGCTGTGGCGAGAACCCAACCCACGACGCCATGTCCCTGAGCACCTTCAGCAGGAGGCGAACGGCATCGACCTTCAATCCTGCCTGCACTGCCAGGTTGACCACATGTGATATGCACCTGCCAATCACATCGAGATTGGCATGGGTTTTGGGATGTTGTGACACAAGGTCTTTGGGTGCCGGTGGGGAATCCAAACACCCCAGATACGGCCACACGCACCCACAATGCCGACCCTCACAACCCCCCCCCCCCCAAATCACCCCCACACACAACACTCATACCTGAAGTGCAGGCGGGTGTTGAAGAAGCGTCGACCACCACCCTCCTCCGACAGCCTCCGAAACGCGGCAATGTTGGCCGAGGCGTTGTCTGAGGTGAGGCCCATACAACGCCTCTCCAACCCCCACTTCACCACCGTGTCCTCCACGACCTGCGCGATCTGCACTGCTCCATGACGACCAGTCAGTTCGCGAAACTCGAGCACCGCATCGCGCAGCTGGATAGACTCGTCTATCCAGTGACCCGTCACTACTAGCCACGCCTTCCCATTGGGTGCAGACCAGATGTCAATGGTCATTGACACCTTGCACCCCAACTCCCCCTCCTTCCCCTGCAGCTCCGCCTTGGCCGCCGACAGAGCGGCCGCCGCAAACGCCACAGTGTCGCGTGCCACCGTCCATCGCGACGGTATGAAGTTCTTGTCCCCGCAGTGTTGGTTGCACAGGGTCAGAAGCTCGCGAAACTGGAGGGATGGTTGAGACGGTACACAAAACGCATGCGCTGGGTGTCGAAGCACAGGTCAATAATGGAATTCCCAAGGAGAGGCGTAAGAGACAGCACCCAACTCCCTCCCCTAAACATGCATACAACTCCCCACCCACAACCAGCATTGCACGCTTACCGCCTCAGCCTCCACAATCTTGAAAGGTAGGTCGCAGGTCACCACCAGTTTGGCGATCGCCTGACGAAGCTCCACCTCTGACAGCTTCTTCGACATGTAGCTCTTGATCCCAACGACGCCAGACCCCTCAGCCTCTCGCCCCTCCGCCCTCCCACCCTTCCTTGGGATGTTTGGCCACTTTTCTGCATGCGGCCAATAGTATACGTAGCCGTCCGGCACTCCCACGTAGCCCCCCTTCGGGAACGTCTCGCCCGGCAGCTGCAGATGTGGGTTGTGGTATCGATGATACCACACATCCATGTGAGCAGTGTGGAAGCTCTCAAAGTGGCGCTCGCCTGGGGTGGTTGTAGATCCCCGCCGAGAAATGCGATCGGTACAAATCTTGCATTGCCGCTTGTCATCTGTCCCCTTGGGCCCAAACATCTGTACTTGCCACCCCCGCTTCTTCCGCCCCCCCTTGCCACTCCCCTGGCTACTCTCGGGCTGTCCCTCATCGTCGAGGAACTCTGGAGCAACCACACCCTCGCCCAGATCCACCCCTCTGAAGGTGCAAGGATACGCCCGTGTCCTCGCCTTCTCGGCTTTCTTCTTCCTGGTCCCAATCAACGGCCTCTTTCGCCCAACCTTAACACCTCCGCGCGGCCGTCCTCCACCCACGTGCTGAGATGCCTCCTCTGCGGTAGCCGCGGCAACCCCTCCTCCTGTTAACGGGAATGGAGTGTTGGCCCCGCCCTCGCTTGGGCAACGCCGACGACTTGGTCGGATGTACGGGAGTAGCAGCCGACCGTTCACAGTGGGAGAGCTGCTCGACAGGCTTCGTCGAGCTGCAGGGGACCGCTGTGGTGTTGCTGTCGACCAGGGAGCTCGACAGCTGTAACTGACTGGTCTGGGCGACGGGTGGGACGTCGACCAGGACCTGCAGCTCGACCGGGAGGTCTCCGGAGCATCCCGTCGACCTGCAGTTCGACCGGCAGGTCGACGGAGCAGTCCGTCCACCTGGCAAGTGAGCAGCGGTCGACGAGGGGGGCTCGGCGACAACCGCTGACTGTTCCGGTCGACGGAAGGGGTCCGTCGACCAGAGGGTAGCTCGACGGGAGCTGTGGTCGACCAGGGGCGCTTGGTAGTCGACCAGAGGGACCTGGGGGTCGACCAGAAGCAGTGGTGGTCGACCGGAAGCACCTGGTGGTCGACCGGGTCGATCGGGTAACCTGTTCGACGTCGAGGTCGCGATGGCGAAGGCGACTGCGGGCTGGTATCTCGAAGTCGATGTGGCTCGTCAGGCGCAGACAACAGCCGACGGATGCCCAACGAAGCAAATCGGGCCAATCGTCTGCGCGCACCTGCGAGCGTGCGCACTGCTGTGTTCTACGGGGCAACGCTGGACAGTCGCTCTGCTGCAGCGTTGGCACGCCGTCGACCTGCTCTGTTGGCAGGTCGCCCTTCTGCAGTGCTGGTGCGGCTCCTCTACGCAACGCTGGCAGGCGGTCGACCGAGCTGTGCTGGCGGTCGACCAGGCTAGCTGCAGGATTGCTAGGTGCCTGATGTAGTCATTCTGTCATTGCTTGTTCAATCATTCTGTAATTTCGACTTTGCCTAGTGGAAACTCTTGCCGATTTCTCCCGTGAATGTGCAAGCACTAAGGAACCAAGCAAAGCTACGATCACCTCTAGTAGTTCGTGCCAACCCCCGTAGTCTAGCTCACTACCGTTGTAGAGTGACTCTCCGCACCTCCCTCACCAACCCCCTCCTCTACCCCCTCTGGCTCCAACCCTTCCATCTCCTCATCCGCATCTCCTCCCCCGTCTGCACCACCACCGCCATGAGTCTCGGGTGTCCACCCCGGCTCACTATCGTCACCGCTACCCTCCTCGTCCTCCTCCTCCCCCTCCCCCTCCTCCCCCTCCTCCTCGTCCTCCTCCTCCTCCTCCTCCGCCGCACTGTCGGTCTGAGTGGTGTTGCACGTCTGCTCAGAAGGACGGGGCCGTTGACCACTGTAACGGTACGACACCCGGGATGACGGCACGGGCATGGCCAGAAGCCCACCGACGAAACACGCACCAACTCCTCCCGGGCCGTCACCTGGTCGAGCCTGCATTGGTCGTGATGCAGACGAGGGCGCGCCGGCCTGACTACCGCCGCGACCGGCCCGCCCTGTACTAACTTGTTTAGGGGAGGACATTTCCGCCACCGCCGCAAGAAACCTAAACCCTAGCTACAACTGTAATGCGGCCTGCTGCAATGTTTATGAAGGGGATTGTCACTATGATCTTAAACCTAACGGTGGAGAGGAGACTAGTTCAACGGTAGTGCAAACCCTAATGTGATGCTAGATACGAATCTTCTACTATGGAGTATATGCTACGTCCTTAGTATTCAACTATTACGTCACTATAATGCCAAAACGCCATAGTTCAACGACTTGAGGGCCTATGCTAGTCCTAGAAGGTGTGGGTGTGGTAGGTGGTTGTGGGGTGGGTGGGCTGTTAGGAGCGCCATGGTAAACATGCTAAAAAAAAAGAGCCGCAATTGGTATGGCCGAGACCCTAAAATTGGTCGCGGCAATTTTGTCGACGAACACTTTAGGTGTTCGTCGACGTGCGGGTCGAACACGAACATGTTCGTGTTCGACGCGCCTCGGCCCATCGCGGCGCGCGAACAGCGAACATGTTCGCGCGAACGTCGAACATGTTCGTGACGAACATTTTTGGCCAAAAAAAAATCCCGTTCGGTTCGTCTCGAACATGTTCGAGACGAACCGAACGGGTGTTCGCCAATATGCTCATGCCTAGCAGTGAGAGAGGCTGACTGATCTAACGCCGCTATGAAAGCTCATGTTTGGCTCAAGGAGAGCACTCTCGCAGGAGTTACAGTGACTTGCAGCTTTTGCCGGGGTGCTGGCAATGTCTGTCTCCATGCGCCTCCTACTAGCCACCATCCCCATGCCGTTCCCACCTTCAGAAGCAAATAGCCTACCACTATTTTAGTTGAACTTGAAATTAATTTCGGTGTAGCTATGCCCATTATTTCCCCTTTTCATCTCCCCTTTTCCACTGCAGCAACATCTCCGGCACCAACCTCACATGCCCACCTGACAGCTCTACCTGTGGTGTAACACAATCTCCTAGAACATCCTTTTGCCGCACGTGTAAACCCTTCTGCAATACTTGCACCAACCAATCTTCAGGCGAGTAAACAAACATCAGCAGCCTAGTATGGTTTCAGAGAGGAGAGCAACGGGAGAGAGCGTGATGCATGGCGCTAAGCGTTTTGGAGTTGAGAGTGTTGTGCGAGGGATATATGATTTGGGAAACAAATCTTTGTATAGCAAGCGATGCATGGCAACGCATGGGAATGCATGGCATTGCACGGCACAAAGCATTTCAGAAAGAGTCCTCTCATTTTCTAACTCTGTTAATGATCAGCTTGCATCTATCCCCACTGCGTGCGTGGACATCTCATGTTATTCACAGAAATCAGCAAAGGCGGCAGCAGCATCAGCACCAGCAGCAGCAACAGCGAGTCTTCTTCAGCAGGAGGTGGAGGTGGAGTGTCAGTGGGAGTCATCATTGGCATCGTTGTTGCTGCTGCGGTCATTCTCGTGCTTCTGGGCGCCACACTGCTTTACGTCTGGCGCAGGAAGGGTATACTCTGATTACCCAGACTCTGTTGTTGATGCAGTTGTGTGTGGCTGTTTGCAACATGGCTTTAAGAGGAGTTAAATGTTTTCACTGCATAAGCTGTGACATGACCATGCAGGTCTGCTAGTCTAATCATGCTCGACTCACAACTACTCAATCCAATTCGTGCTCAAGCCTATCTCCCTGCACCCGTCTGCCCTTCTTTCACCTCTGACACCACGAGCAGGCACTAGCAGCAGCCTGGCAGCCTCGCACTGCACGGAGTTCTCAATAGAGGAGGTCGTCAAGGCCACCAATGACTGGGCAAAAGACAACCAGCTGGGCTCGGGTGCCTTTGGCGATGTGTACAAGGGCGTGTCTCCCCGCGATGGCACCACCTTGTGGGCTGTGAAGCGCGCCAGGCTGATCGATGTGGACTTCCAAAGGGAGGTAAGTGAGGCGCAGATATGGTGATCAGTGATCTGTGGTGAGCCACGGTGAACCATAATACAATGGCGTGTCTCTGTGGCCTAAGTGCTATTTCCCATTCCTTGCCTAGATATTTTTGTATACTCACAATGCATCGGTTTCTAGTCTACGTATAAATTGTGTCTTTTCTTCTTCGCTTTGCATTTGCATCCTTGACAATGTGTTTGTTGTTCCCATTTTTCAATCTGTTCCTCTTCCCTGCAACTCACCCTTCCTCTCTGGCTGTGTGGATCAGATCCAGCAGATGGCCGACAAGAACCATCCCAGCATTGTGAGGCTTCTTGGGTTTGCGATCGGAGGCGACTTGAGGTCACGGCCGGAACAAGTTCTCATCTATGAATACGTGCCCAATGGCGACCTTCGCGAATGGATTGATCCAAGTAAGGGGGCCACTTCACTCCATTGTGATCTCTTTTTGTGCCTCGCATGTTTTGATGTGCCTGTCATATGTTGTGCCACTGATATGCCATCCGCTCATTTCCTGTGCCTCTCATATGCTGTTCCAAATATGTTGTGCATCCTTGCACAAGCAGTGTGTCCCTCTGACTATGAAGCAGCTTGCCACAAATACGCTGTGTCACAAAGATGTTGTACCACACATCCTTGAGATGTAGCCTGCCCTCTGCCACTCATCCTCTGCCACTCATCTTCTTTGCCACTCATGCTGCCATTTATTCCTTGCAGATGCCGAGCGCCCGCTGACTCTGAAGCAGCGGCTGGACATTCTCATCGGCTTGGGACGGGGCTTGGAGTACCTCCACAGCTTTGGCATCGTGCATCGCGACATCAATCCTGGCAATGTCCTCATCACCGACGACATGCAGGCAAGCTTGGTTGCGGACGATCGTTTGAATGCCACAATAATTTCCTTGGCGAAGGCAGAGCTGTTTAAAACCGGGTTGCCTGTTCAACCCAATGGGCATCAAGGGTTAACCTTTGATGGCCCAGTTACGTGGTGTGCTTTGTGGGGAGAGTCACTCCACACTGGTGGGAACTAGACTATCGTAGCGTTCCTTGTGTTCTTTAGCACTTGTGCGTTCACAGGGCAAAACTGCAAGAGTTTTCACTAGCAAAACTTGAGAACAATGTTGAACACTGATAGCAATGGCAATGGCAAAACTGACTACATCAGAAGAAATCAACCTACCAGACGGGCAAGTCGACCGCCAGCACAGCATGGTCGACAGTCTGCCAGCGTTGCGTAGAGGCACCGCGCCAGCGTAGAGAAAGGACGACCTGCCAACAAAGCAAGTCGACGGCTTGCCAATGCAGCACCAAGGCGGCTTGCCAACGCAGTTGCAGAGCGGACTGCCAGCGTTGCAACCAGAGGTGATAATAGCGCATGTGCACACCCACTTCGCAGGTGTGCGGCGACTGTCGAGCACGTTGTGCACTGTGGCGCAGATGCCAAGTCGACCACGTGCTGCCACGTCGATTGATTTTGTCACGGCAACTTCGACGACGTTCGCGCATCTCCGCAGACCCTCGTCGAGCAGGTTACTTAGCCGACAGGGAAACCGTCAAGTCAGCATCGACTTGTGCGGCCGGAGCCCGACAACAGCTGAACGTGCGCGTCGACCACACAGGTTGACGAATCATGTCGACTTCGCCAAGTCGACGCCCTTGCATGTTGACGAACACCTTCGTCAACCGCCCAGTAGAAGTAGGTGCCCACCCTGGTCAACGAACCACTTCGTCGGCCCGCCAGGTCGGCCTCTGCCGTCGAACTCCCATCGTCGACGGCTTCTCGATAGTCACGCGCAGGTCGACGCCCATTTTTGTCGACCTCTCTTGTCAAAGTAGGCCACCAGCTCCCATCGACGGCAGCACCGGTCTCCCTCCTGTGCAATTTCGTTTCCCCCTCTCCCGCATTGTTTCCCCCTCTCCCGCAGTTTTGTTTCCCCCTACCCTGCAATTTGGTTTCCCCCTCTCCCGTGATTTCGTCTCACCCCCTCCTGACATTTCGTATCTCTCCCTCCCGCCAATTCGTATCTCCCCCTCGCGCCATTTCGTTTCACCCCCCCCCTGCCATTTCGAATACAGTATCTCTGCCACCCTAGTTGCCCTCCCCTCACCCCTACCCTCCCTCTTCCCACCAACAAAATTTTTGAAGCACTAGGTGAATTGTTGTTCTATCACTGCTCGTCCACCATTCGTGTTTTTTCTCCACATCCCCCTCCTTTAATCTCTTCCCGAGGCACGTTGAATGTGTACCCCGGTTTTAGAAATTTGCCAGCATATGCATTCGAGTCTGGAAAAGGTACCTAATGAGAACGGGACCGAATCCTGAGTGGCACAGCGAAGTTGAGCATAAGCCAAACTCAAGCGTGTTTGCCTCGAACCCAAACGAACATTTACCTTAGGTGAACTGAACGCATTCGAATTCAGTTTTGCCACGAACAATTCTTCTCAGAATATAGTGTTCATGTCTTCGAGGTTACAAGCTAAGTTGTCAAAAACGCTCAGACCTGTTTGCGTTTAGCGGATATCCGCTTGCGTATACACGCAACACGCTATACGCAAGCGAATCCGCTATAAGCTCGGCAAATTTGTTCTGGGGCAGCCCGAGCGGAAAAAAAATCGAACATACGGAAAGATGCCAAATTTCACGACGTGCATTTTGCCGAAGGCGAATTGCACGTACATGACTTGTCCAATCGTGGACGTGGGTTCAACCCACGTAGTCGAGATTGGTTGTGTCAATTTGACAAATCGCGTTTTCACGTACACACTTTGTGCGCTCTGTTTGTTACTGCAGTTAATCCCCTCCCATCTACTCACTCCCACCACCTGTCCCAATGTTCCCTTCTCTCGTTGTGCTACTTAGTGGGTTGCAAACAACTACGCAATTCATCAGTTTCCCGTCTCTTTCGTAATGTCATGCCCGCCATGCACACCGCCATCCGTTCAGACAGTGCTGAGTTCTCGGATTGTTCGACCTGAGGGTAGGAATTACCTTCCCGACATGCTGGACCACGTTGTCTTCAAACATTTCAGCCTCATTGTGCGGGAAGAAGGCAAAGCACAGCAGTACGAGTGTAAGAACTGCTTCAATGTTTTCACCGATGCAGCCATTCGTTGCGTGCAGCACCTGAGCTCGTGGAAGGGAATGAAGCGTCGCGAGGTGACGCTTTGCAAGGAGGTGCCGCAAGACGTACGCAAGGAGATGCGCACCAAATACGAAAAGATGGCTGCCGCGATCGAGGAAAAGCACCGAGCAACATCTGCTGCGGTTGCGGCGGTCCAGGCTGGCGGTGGGAAGCGGCGCATAACCGACTACTTGGAGGGAGATGCTGCTGCGGCTAAGCGGGATGCTCACGAGGGCCTTGCGCTGATGTTTGCGGCCTGCGGAATCCCGGAGATCACCGTGAACCACCCGCTGTTCATCAACGCCATGCTGCTTGTCAACCGCGCCGGCCACGGCTACGTCCTCCCCAAGAGGTCATTGGCGGGGCTGGACCGGTCGTTGTCCGCAAAGGGATTGAGCAGGGGCTGATGGGGATTAAAACGAGCTGGAAGAAGACGGGGGTAACAATTGCGTCCGACATGATGACGGACAAATGTGGGAGGGCGCAAGCGAACGTGCTTCTGATTAACGACTCCGGCGCCGTCTTCAAGGAGGCGATCGACTGCGGTATGGAGCGTAAGACGGGGGAATACATAGCGGGGATTCTGCAGCCGGTGGTGGAGGAGGTAGGACTAGAAAATGTCGTCGCGTTTTGTATGGATGGGGGGTCGAACTATGCCGTGCCTGTCCAGGAACTGATTGCCAAGTGGCCCCACATTCAGCAGGTCCCTTGTGCCACGCATGTGATGGATCTCCTCCTGGAGGACGTGGGAAAGATGGGGTGGGCAAAAGGGGTGGTGGATCGGACTGGGGAGATGATTTCGTTCGTGCGCAACCATCATTGGACGCGCGCTTACCTGAGGACCAAGGAGTTGGTGGAGGGGAAGGTGCTGCAGCCGCTGAAGCCGGCGGGAACACGGTTCGGGACACAGTACATTGCTGTGTCCCGCCTTTGTCAGTTGCGTAGCACCCTCAACGTGATGGTGCTTTCCGACAGGTGGAAGGAGTGGGCATCGGGGTCGCGGAAGGAAGCTGCCGAGGCCTTTGCTGCACGGGTCCTCGATGACGCATGGTGGCGGACGGCTGAATTCTTCTGCAAGCTAATGCAACTGCCCTACAAGGCGATGCGGTAGACTGATGCAGATGCCAATGGGATGATGGGCCGGCTCTACGATGTAATGCTGCAGCTTACGGAGGATGTCAACAACATCTTAGACGAGGCACGTTGCTGGCCGAATCCTCAACCCCGCCAACCAGGAGGAGGATATCTTCGGCAGCGACGCCGAATGCACCCGGGTTTTCAAGGCATTAATCAACCAGCACGTAGAGTTCCTCATCGGCCACGACGGGAAGGGGAGGGATGAGGGTCCAGATTACTTGCTTGCCTTGGGTGACGGGCTGAGGGCTTTCTTGGACCTGAAAGGTAGTTTTGGGATGCCGGAGGCGCTTGCACAGAGGGAGATGGTGAAGGCGGGTAAGTACAGCATGGTGAAGTGGTGGCAGTGGAACGGCACAGATGCACCTCACCTGATGCACTTCGCCGTGAGGGTGTTATCTCAGCCTGTATCGGCACCCCCTTGTGAGCGTGGGTGGGGAACTTGGGATGCAGTCCACACAGCCCGCCGGAACCGCCTCGGATCTGCAAAGTGCCAGGACCTGGTTTTTGTTGCGCACTACTGGAATGTTGTGCGCAACTGGCACTCGCGCGCAGATGTAATGCCGAACGTTGTGCCAGGGATTGGGGACGAGCCTCCTATCCCCAAGGGGTACAACGGGTTGAATGAGACGGAGGTGGAGGAGGAGGAAGGCAAGGATGACGTCCTGGAGGACGAGTACGCTTAGAACTAGGGTGGCAGGAGAGTATTAGTGACATGTGTGTGTGTATGGTGTAGTAATCTTATTATGGGAAAACAAAAAGCTGCAAAACCCCCAAAATGCTCCCCCCCCCCCCCCCCCCCCCCCCCCCACAAACATCTCCAAGTGGTTTCTTTTGCCTTGCCGGGAAAGTTTTTTCCCTGCCCGGAAAAGCGTATCCCAAAGTTGACCCCCTAAGCGGATAGCGTGCATACGCTAGCGTATATACGCTATAAGCGTATTTGGCAACTTAAGTTACAAGTAGGTATGGGCAAGATGTGAACACGAACATGTTCGTTCGTCACGAACACTTTCAGAGTGGTGTTTTGGGGGCGAACACCTTCATGTTTGCCCCGAGCACGAAGTCATGTTCTGTTGTGAATTTTAACACATGCAACCATTTGTCATGCTCTGCTCTTCATCCCTCATGCTACAATGTCTCTCATAACCAGGCAAAGATTGCAGACTTTGGGCTGGTGAGGATGGAAAAGGGCACTTCTGTAAGCACGACGCGTGTCATGGGCACACCGGGCTATGTGGATCCAGCCTACTTCAGCACGTGCAAGGCCACCACTGCCAGCGATGTGTACAGGTGAGGCGGGGATGTGTACAGTTGAGGCTGGAGACCCTTAAAAAGCAGGAAACCTTTTGAAGGCAATCGAAGAGGCTCCAAGTGTTATGTTATGCGTGTACAGTGAACCTGTGGACACTGCATTTAAGTGGCAAGATTCATGTAACGTTGCTCCATCTCTGGCTCTTCCTCTGCATCGTGTACCCTCATCATGTTATGCTTTTGAACTCTTCTTTTCAGCTTTGGAGTGCTCATGCTGGTCGTGTTTACGGGACGCCCACCATTTGTAGAGACTGATGGAGAGGGTCAGCTGGTCACTAAATGGGTAAGCACTGCATCTATGAGACCAGGGTTTCTGTGATGGCGTCGTTTCAATAGCAGAACGGAACACCGCTGTCTGCTGCCTAGTGGTTGGTTGTGGTACGTCTTACGCACGCCTGGTTTTGCTAGTCGTCTTCTCAAGGCTTGCGGATCACTTCGTGGGTAGCAATTATTCCACCAGTATACATTAGCTTAGATAGCGCCGTCTCAATGCCATCGAATGGGTAGTCTGTCCACACCTTCTTGTTGACTTGGCTCAACTTACCCTGATCAAAATTTTCCTGCCCACTCCACTCCTCAGGCGTCGGACTGCCTCTCCTCGGGGGACTTGGCCAGCCTCAACCACCCCACCATGGACGCCCCTGCAGATGCTGTGCTGCGTGTGGCTCAGCTCGCCCTCACCTGCACCACAGAGCGCACTGCAACCCGCCCAAGCATGGCACACGTCGCCAACGAGCTGCAAGCCATCCGGGAGGAGGTGGTGGGGAAAGAGGAGCTCAGCGCGGCTGTGAAGGTGGATGCGCAGGTCCAGGAGAAGGAGGTTGTTGCCAATGTGTTAAGCTTCGACGAACAGCTCCAATTTCTTGACGACAATCTGGGTGAAAGATAAGATGTGTCTCAATATTTCTTAGTACGGTACTAGTTTCTATTGCCAATCTTAGTAGTGGAGTTTGAGTGTCGAAATACGCTACTACCGTAATTTAAGATTGTTAAGAGATATAATCTATTAGAGCACCTTTGCAGTTGAAAGTTTGAGACCATCTTCTTTACTGGCTACCCTAGCTGCATTAACCTTTATTATTGGTTATACATTAGCTCTTTCAAAATTTACTGCAGCTAGTGTGAAAGATGTGGATTTAAAGGCTCTATCTCCTGCAATTGCAAACACAATACGCAGTACCAGGGCTTTTTTTTGGATTTTCACTACTCGGATTTCCGGAGCTGTTCTCTAGGGAACTCTGAAATTCAGGGTTCATTATGAGCGTTACTCTGATTTGTCAGAGAAAACTTAACTTCTGAAAAATATACTCTGGTCAGTTGGTGTACCTACTTTTCCAACTCTGAGTGTCCTCTCAAGTATTGAACCCAGGCCTTCTGCACTCCTACCAAAAGTTTAACCGTTGTACTACGCGCTCACTAATCGGTTGGCTGAGGGATAGTTTATATCTTTTTCAATTCTGCTTAACCATCTTCCACCAATTGAGGGGGGGGCTCGGTCGAAATGCCTATACCCTGTACAGAGAAAAATACATTCGCCACAGATATACACTGGTCTCTCAGAGTAGCTAAAATCAGAACCCTGACAAATCAGAGAAAACTTATCTTCCAAAAAAAATACCCAGACACGTCAGAGTGACCCCCTAAAAATCACTCTGATTTTCAGAGAAACAGAGTAATATACTCTGATAAAAAAACCCCTGCGCAGTACGTACCGGTAGCAGGATCTCAAGACTCGTACAGCAGACACCTAGCTCAAGAGCCGCGAAATCGGAAGCTTTGGTTTAGGACAGTGTAACCCGCTCAATGCGATGGCATCGCGAGGAATCATGCTGCAAGTGCGACGGAAACGCAGCAGGTGCCCCAATCTGAACAGCGAGTTTGCAGCGTCTGCAGGAGCGTGTCGTCTACGTGGTCCAGCGCCCTGCTGTCCAGCCCGAACCTAGGAGGGGGGTAGGGAGAGGCGGGAAAAAAGGAGAGAAGGTGACTGTCATAAATAGTGCGAAGAATTAGTGCATTAGGTCAAAGGGAGGGGTACAAAGAGAGTGTCGAGAGAAGTGATGTACCCCCTAACATGCAACTCACTACAGGCCAGATAAGTAAATCAGCACAACTTTGACACACCCCCATAGCCCAAGAGAGGTGCATGATAACAACCAAGACAAGCATGCAGGCCCTCAGATTCACTTTTCGGGACGTTGATGCATCAGGGTCCCTGTGAAAAAAAGGCTGATTTTCAGTGTTACTAAAAAAAAAATGCCTGATTTTTCAGGGTTCTAAAAAAAAGAACACTGATTATCTTCCACAAGATATCCTCAGAAGGAACACGCATCGAATTTTCTATGCTAGTCTAGGGAATCGAACCTAGGATTTTCACCTTCGACAGCGATTTCACTAACAACTAAGACACTCGGACAGAGTATTGTACGAGCGCTGGTCAGCCCAGGCGTATTTCAGGAAGGAATCAGAATCTGCATTCAGTATCAACTTCGATAAAAGACTGAATACTCAGTGTTAACTACGAAATGAAGGCTGAAAAATCAGCCTCACAAAAATCTACACACTGAAGTATCAGGGTAGGTACACAAAATTAGGCTGAAAATCAGGAATTTCAGGGAAAAAATCCTGATATCGTAGGGCCTGCAAGCATGTGTTTACAACACCAGTTAAGAGAAGAAACGCAGCAAGCTCATGGTGGATTAAAAAGTCACCGCACAGCCCGAGCACAAGAAAGTAGCCATAAGGCCTATTCACATGCAAAGTTGTAACAAAAAAATGAAACATAACAATGATCACAACCTAGTAAGAGTAACCATGTATGTATATATATACACACATATATATACATATGTGTGTCATAGTACAAGGCAGAATCAAGAGACAAGCAAGAGCGTCAGAGTAGGCACAAGGCATACAGTAATGCAGAAACGCTGATAATCACTAGAACCTAGGGTCTTAATGAAGATATCAGCAGTGTTGGCCTGTGAGGCCATGTAAGCAAGACGAATCTGACCACGCTGCTGTAACTCGCGTGCAAGATAGTCTTGATAACATGGTCTGTAACTCATCTTTCTGCTACAATGACTCTCATTATAATAACCAGGCAAAGATTGCATACTTGGGACTGGTGAGGATAGGGGAGGGCACTCTATAAGCACGACGCGTGTCATGGCCACACCGGGCTATGTGGGTCCAACCTATTTCGGCACATGCAAGGCCACAACTGCCAGCGAGGTGTTCAGGTCAGGAAGGGATGTGTACAGGTGGCAGGATTCTTAGAAAGCATTTCAGTAGACCCTTAGAAAGCATTGCGAAAGTTCCGTTGAAAATCATACCGTCATCGCCCGGATATAAGACATATATGTCTTATCTCATACACTAAAAAAAATGCTTGGGTTATCTTGTATTTGGGGAGGTTTTGGGTGTCTTATAAATGGAAAATTTTTTAAACTACTTAGAAATATTTTCACGCATCTTGAAAAGAGTTTCTCATTAAGAGTGTGGATGTTGCGAAGGTGCCACTTCGGCAACCATTGTTCGGGGCGCCACGTCATCCCGAATACTTGTAGAGGCAAATTTGGTAGTACGTGAGTCAGCACGTGGCAGAATTCGCGTGTCGTAAGGGTAAAAATGTACCCGGTATTTCAATTTTCACTATAATACATTGCAGTTTCGATTATAAGACACATATGTCTTATCTCGTACACACAAATAGGTGTCGTATAAAAAGGCTAGCCTGTTTATAAGAGACACCCGTATAATAGACAACCCCTGTCTACTATTCAACACTGTCTTATATCCGGGCGATGACGGTAGCAATAATCACTTCGAGGCAGTGCAGGAGTCCTTTATGTTGACTGCTATATGGGATCTATACGCTCTTAACACACCTTTAAATCACACTCGGTAGTCCCCACGGGGTCACCTCCAAGAGTTCTTGGGTGCCTGGTAGAACCAGCCCCTATCCAAGGGTCCGTGTTTGTAGAGGGATTCCCTAAGTATGAAAATTGTCGTGTGCTCCTAGAGCATTCCCAAACTCATATGCGGAAGCGTTGACGATTGATTGGTACGTGTGCAGAAAATTCTCCTCGCGTCAATACGTAGATAGAGAATATTTTCACTCGTCAAAGTGTTGCACAAAAGGTTGATTACAATCAAACACAAGCACACATTTATAGAAAGTTTAATGGACGAGCAAAGGAGACACAAGGCAAACATTAAACAGTTATACAACTGTAATCTAGGACTTCGCCATGTTGTCTTGGTAAAACGGTTGTCAAACTTCAGCTGCATTTGGCTTGATCCACTTCATTAGAATAACTGATTTCAAATTACACTTCATCCAAACGCCCCTGCTGACTCCCTTCGCGAGCACTCATGAATTTTCGTTAACATTCATGAAGCCTCATGTGGGAAAACCGTTTTCACGTTGTAAAACGGAATTTACCGTTTTGTACCTTGTCAAAATGATCACGCAAAGTAGCGTAACTTTCTGGCGAAAGTTCATGATTGCCAAGTCAACTCGGGATACAGTTTTTCAACTGTAAATCCGAGCTCCCCACGTGCCAGCCAGCATGACCGAGATATTTCTGTCAAACATTATATATGTTACTATTCTGTAGGCTATAGTGGGTTTAGCCTTAGGGGGTACAACATTCTAGGTTTCCCTACTTTTACTCCCAATGCTGTTAGTTCATTCACTCCTCTCTCATTCTGACATGGTATCACGAGCCTAGGTTAGTCACCTAGGACCGACTACTGTTAGGGCCCACCACTGCTACTACAACCTACTACCTGTGCGCCCTCGTGCGCTTACTGCCTGCGCCCTCGTGCGCCCTCTTGCTAGTTGCGCGCTGCCCACTAGCCCCGCACGCAGCCCCTCGCGGCCCAGTGCAGCCCCGTGCGCCGCCCGCCTGCCTACCCGCGCCCTCGAGCGCCTGCCTACCCGCGCCCTCGAGCGCCTGCCTACCCGCGCCCTCGAGCGCCTGCCTACTCGCGCCCTTGAGTGCCTGCCTACCCGCGCCCTCGAGCGCCACCCTGCCGCCCTGCCCTCCAGGCCGCGCGCGGGCCTGCCCTGCACCCGCGCAGCCGCCCCTGGACCCCGTGGCGCGGCCCCTGGACCCCGCGACGCGTCGCCCTGCTTGTCGCGACGCCTCTGCGGGACCCGGGCGTCGCCCCTGCCTCGTCGCGACGCCCCTGCGGGACCCGCGCGTCGCCCCCGCCTCGTCGCGACGCCCCTGCGGGACCCGCGCGGAGTCGCCCCTGCCCGCCGCGGCGCCCTGCCCTACCCCGCGCCCGCCCTTGGGACGGCCGCCCCTGCCCCGCCCTGCAGCAGCTGCCGTCGCGGCCCTGCCCCGCCCTGCAGCAGCTGCTGTTGCGGCCCTGCCCCGCCCTGCAGCAGCTGCCGTCCCGAACTGCCCCACCCTGCAGCAGCTGCCGTCGCGGCCCTGCCCCGCCCTGCAGCAGCGGCCGTCGCGGCCCTGTCCCCCCCCCCCCTGCCGCAGCTGCCGTCGCGGCCCGGCCCCGCCCTGCAGCAACTGCCGCGGAGCCCCTAGCCGCAGTTGTGGCCCCGCCCTGCAGCAGCTGCCGCGGAGCTCCCTGCCGCGGTCGCGGCCCCGCACTGCAGCTGTAGCGGCTCCGCCGTCGCCGCCGTCTTGCGCCTGCCCTTCCCACCACTGGTGAGCACTGCCCTGCCCGCGCTGCTACCTCTGCTACTGCTGCTACTGCTTTTACTGCTCCTACTGCTACTGCTACTGCTGCTATTGCTGCTACTGCTGCTCCTGGCGTGGCCAGATGCAGCTCCAGGGCCGTCCGCGTGAGTCCCTCACGCCCCAGCAGCTTCGTGAGTGGTATGCTAGTTGGGGTTGTCGGGGTGGCCGTAGTGGGAGTCGC